GTAAATCTCTAGGACTCTGCAGTAGAGCTAGCGTTTATTTACAGAGAGTGAAATGCTTCCCCTGGTGAAGCCTGTGTTAACCTCCTGTGGCTTCCCAGGGGCAGGGTTTTGTCTGACGCCCACCTCTGCTTCTCCTGCCTGCTCCTCCCTTGCAGCCTGTGGTCTGTGAGCTGTGAAAGGCAGAGTGCTGTTAACTTCGCTCCTTCCTCCTCTGACCTCAGCACGGATTGGCCGAGACTATGCCTTCCCCAGCTAGCAACCTCAGCCTCCCAAACTCTGAATGAGAACTTTTATCCTCAAAGGATGCACAAGAGAGCACTTTACTGAGCTGTGTGGGACAAAGTTGGGCCTGGTTGGTGCCCAGGTGGAACACTGCTCTTCTCAAAATTGTTTTGCATGGACACTCCTCAGCTGCAGGAAAAAAAAAAAAAAGGAAAACAATCTTTTCTAGATATGTTTTTGAAGAGTGTTTGAAGTTTGCAATGACACATTTTTTAATAGTGGTAATGTTTTATTCCCCCTCCTGTTCGTAACCCTGTTCTTGCTTTAGAAACCTGTAATGATTTAGACTTGTCAATATTTGTAAGAAACTGAATCATCTGTCATTTCTCAGCAGCCCAAGTCATTCTGGTTTCTAGCAAATACTTTCTAATTTGCACTTAAGAGGAAAGATTGTATCTGCATTAACATGGAGTAAAATTGCTATATGATGATGTGGCCATGCCCCGTCTCCTTTTTTTTGCCCTCCTCAGATTAAAGTTAAACCTGACCACTATAGCAACAGACTTAAAATAGTGTGAAGTTAGCACTGCACCGTAATCTGACCAGTATGTGTACAGCTTTTTGGGGATAAATGCTTTGCTGATGGTGAAATAAAATCATTAATGTGGGCAACATCAATACCCATGGCTTTCAGCATAGGGAAGCTTGTTTCGTTTCTCAGCAGCCTGTAGCTCCTTTCAGATTCGACCCGTGAGGGAGAGGGCTGCTCAGATAACTTCTCGTTTCCGCCGCGCCCGTTTCTTCAGGATCAGGTATGCAGTACCTACTTTTCCCTCAGGTGCCATTTCCCACGCAGTGTTTTCAGGTACTGTAACAACACGTTGTCTGCCTCGCCCTCCGCGGGAAGGGAGGAATGTAACCTGTGCACACCTGGCAGGAAAACGTCAGCAGGGGATGGGCAAGAGCTGTCCCTCCGTGGCTCTCGTGTAGCACAAACCTCAGCGAGCACTATTGCATTGTACACTAGAACTGGTCAGTGGGCGACTCCTTGGTGCTGGGAGCTGGTGCTATCATGTTTTGACTTACACCTTGTTGCAGGGAGCTGCTCTTTGTTTACGTGTAGTTTGAACTATTGAGCACAGTGTACATTTGAAAGTTTTACTGGGCAAATCACTTTGCAGTATCTTTAAAAACTTGCTTCCCATGACGCAGTGTCATGAGCGCTCATTTTTTTGTACTAGGTGACGATTAGCAGTGATGCTTTGCTGCAGCAGTTCATTGTTTGACTTGGGTTTTTTTGTATTGGTGAGTGGCAGTAACAGAACAGCAAGATCCACCACGTCTCTGCCCGCGCGCCGTCACTTGCGGGCTGGAGCACCTGGGGGCGACGCCTCATGTGGTCCAATGACCATGAGTAGCTGTAACAGTTGTCAATAGCAACCTGACTTTCTCTATTGGGGATTTACACTAGAGGTAAGAGCGTATTCTAGGAACTCTACAACTAGGATTAACAACTCTGGCCAAGAGTGTTGGGAAGGTTAGAGATGGTATAACACGTTCTGGATCACAAAGCAATATGTCTTTCTCGTGATTGCAGAACAGATTCAGAGCTCCTCTCTAAAGCATGTGCCTATACACAAAACCTACCTGTACAAAAGTTAATTCAGTCAGAGGTTTGACTTCTACCCCCCCTTGCATTTGTAAACTTGACAGGATTAAAATAAATAAATAGATGTGGCCTTCCTAGAGTTTTTCCTCTAAAAGTGATTGCACTATGTAAAACACACTGTACTTTGCCCAGCGCGGGCATCTCTTGTGCTGCTGCAATGCTTTGTATACCTGGAGTGCGGGGCGTGGACCGGGCGCTAGCACTCAGTCCTGACCTACAAGCTGTTGCTTAAATGGATGTATATTGAGGAAAGTTTTCTAATGTTGCAAGATCTCCATCAAATTCACTGCAATCTGTACTGTCAAAGTATGTGAATGGTCTGACTGAAAGAAAACCCTCCTGCTTACCAAAAAAGGTAAAATTAAATAAAAGCTGCATGACCTGTTCTTCGAAGTGATTGGTAGTGGTTTTTTTTTTGCTCCCTCTGTGGGTATTTTACAATGTTATCATCATCCAAATTCAGTGTGCCCTTGTGCTCCACTCTGCCCTTGGGCCACAAGATGTCCTCTGTTCCAGCTGAGGGTGGCTGAGGGACAGCCTCCAACTCAGGAGGGGCAACCAGGATATGTGTGCACACAGCTTATCTGTGTGAAATCTCCATACGCAGGTAGTCCATGTGTATATTTTATATACATACATACATACAGAAGACTAAAGTATGAGACTGGAAACGTTAAGTTCTCAAATATTATTTAAATATATTTTCAAGCTATTCCAGACATAGACACACCCACCCACCAAGCCAGCCTCAATTAAATTTATTTTTCTAAAAGATATTAAAAGAAAAAAAAAAAAAAACATCAGCTAGGCAGAGGAGAGCAAGTAAAAATAAAACCTCATGGATGTTAGCTACCAACTGGCTGAAGCATCATCTGGCAGATGAATGTTGCCAGACCATACAGCCCCAAAAAACAGAGCCTTCTGCTGCTGGTGGTGAATCCTCATCCCTCTTATGCTCCAGGTTCCTGTGGTAAGCAGAGACCTCTGTGGTGCTGTGACAAAAGCTGGGCTTCTGCTGTCTGAGCACAAGCTGCATGGACATGTTCAGCTGACCTGGACAGGCTGGAGCAATGGGCTGAGGTCAGCTGGATGAGGTTCAACAAGGCCAAGTGCCAGGTCCTGCACTTGGGCCAAACAAG